TTATATGAATTCCATGTTGTACGAGTCACTTAGATTTTACAAATACGTGAGCCGTTCACAGCCCGGCACACGTATTTGTAAAAGCTAAGTGACTCGTACAACATGGAATTCATATAAAACGGAAAAATCAGCAGTGTTATGGGGGGGGTCGACTGTATATAAACTGATAAACTCTATTTTTATTAATATATTTTATGACTTTCGAAAGGTGGCAAATCCCAATTTTTAATTAGATAAGCCCTACTCTCACGTGTTTCAGGCCCTACATTAATAAATTTTCAAATGAAAATCAAACTTTAGTTCTAAACTTTAAATATTCTTTTAGCTCAATTTATTATCTTCATTTTTTTTTACTTCTTATTCCATATTATTAACTCGATTATTAAAGAATTTTGAAAAATTAGTAAGAGCATTCGTAGAGATAGTAACGATGATAATAAATAACGTCATTTTTTAATGTTATTTATTATCGTTATTTTATTAAATGTAGAAACAGCCATGTAAATTATATTTAAATTTTTTTTAGATAACGAGAAAAAATGATTAATTTTAATAGAAAAATTCATTAATTTATATATATATTGCATTAGTAAAATAGCTAAAATAGAATAAAAACAGAAATAATAAACTTTTTGGCAATTTTAAGTATATATTTTGTAAGAATTTTCTTATTTTAGCGAATGAGGAGGAAGTATAAAACAGTATTTTGTAAACATATTCTAAATATATAAAGTGTTTCCTCTATAGAATAATGTTTCTGTGTCGTTTCTAAGTGTTATTTTTACACATAGTCGAAGAAGCTATAGCTTAAGGGCCTCACACTACGATTAGTTTAAAAGGCCATAAAGGCCTCACAGTTTAAATTTATTAATATTTGATCGAAAAACAGCCTGTAATAATCTAAATCTAGACCTTATGAACTTTAACATTCTATAAATTTATGTATATCTAACATACATTTCCTCCCTATAGAATGTATATTCTAAATATAAACTATGTACAGTACTGTACTTAAAAATGTTCCATAATTAAAGTATTTTGTGTATTTATGATAAGTTAATTCTTTTTACAAAATAATATAAGCTTTATTTATCATAATTTATCTTTAGAAAAGTTCCAAACAATTGTTTAAGGTGAAAATTTTATAATTATCATTAGCTTTAAATATCATTAGAACTTGTATATAACGAAAAATAATCTGTTTACATGACGTATTAATTCTGTTTAGAGTTATTCTAAATTTAAACGATAAAAGACCCCGCTGAAATTGAAGAAAATGTGGATTTCTTCATTGGAAGTAATCCAAATTGAGGAAAATCGAGTATAAAGTAATTACTATTTTCGCTTTGATATGTTAAGGAAAATCGTTGAAAGTTTTTCAGTAAAGGGCATTTTCTAATAAGTTTTGAGAAACGATGTTCATAAAATGCCAAGGGAAATAAACATTATCTGAAATTCGATAATATCGCATTCATAAAAATCGAATTTTAAGAGTTATTCGTAGAATAACTCTTAAAATTTGTTTAATTTTGCAATAATGCAGAAGTAGATCAGGATATAACTTTTAATTCTCATAGAAAACAACAAATCAAATTGACAGTTTTATAATCTTCAAAACAAACTCTTCAAATTGTCATCAGAAAATAGTCGATAGCATCGTACTTTACTATAAAACATATTCTTATTTCATACACACCTTTGCGGGAAGATGAATTAAGTAAAAGTAAAGATATAAGTAGATTCCATGAGGGAAAGAACGGAGCACTTTTCCTTCCCTGGGATCGTGATTGAGGTATGTAAACGTACACCCTCGACCATGGGATGTACAGTACAGTACTGTACATTTTGATGCAATATTTCTATAATCTACTCGTGTAAAAATTATTTATCTCCAAGATTTGCCCCTCTAAAATATTCTCATTTGGTAAGTCAATTTACATAAAACTAACAGTCCATTTAACTTTTTGTTTTAAATATGCATGGAAGCCTTAAAAAGATAAGTTACTCTCTTGACCTCTGAGAGGTTCTAAATATAAGTAAGAAACAATTTGTTATTCAAATTTTGTTTATAATAATTTTTAAAATGCCGAATAAACTCTATCTTATTACTTATTAT